ACAGTCATCTTCCCTCACCAACCCCACAGCCCAACTTTTAACAACATTGCGGTTTCAAGGGCATATTTTGCAAAAGCACAACAGCCTGTTCTCAACCTGGTAGTTCTTGCAGTTACATGAGCACGAGACAAAAAACAAAACAAAACAAAAAAAAAAAAACATGAGCCAGCCTGGGCAGATTGTCATGTCCCAAACGGTGTATTATCAGCTTTTAATAGTCAGAGTGCTAATTGTCATTAGAAGCCTGGAAAAGTCTTCAGGCCAAAGCTACTGCAGTTATTATTCAATTTCTGGCATATCACTATGTTTATAGTTTATATATTTGTAGCATTTATTTATATGTCTAATCTTGATATTTTTGTTTGTTCCTTGGTCAATAGTGGCCCTGTATGAGTTTCTAAGATAGGGATATCGTCTGCCATCACCCTCCCTCCTGAGACAGTTTCTCTGTGTCGTCTTGGCTGTCCTGGACTCACTTTGTAAACCAGGCTGGCCTTGAACTCATAGAGATCTGCCTGCCTCTGCTTCCCCAAGTGCTAGATATTCTTTTGTTATTTATCCAAATCATTCCTTGTCCATGAGTAGTAGGAAGAGGCTTTTAATCTGATCTGCTGCCAAGTTCTCTAAGCCTATCAAACATTGTTTACCTTTTTTTTTCATTGTTTACCTTTTTAAGTTTACTTTGTTCTAATTACCTAGTTCCTGAGTATGTGCAGGGACAGATGTGCCAACAATATCTTGGAGCCCGAACCTCATAAGGAGGGCTCTGACATACTTACTTGAGTCACAACCTGCAGGGTGTAGGAAGGGCCAGATAAGGATGTCTCCCTAAAAGCAGGAGGGTCAGTGAGGTCAGGACTTTCTTAGGAAAGCTTGGAAGCAGTACTCCTGGGAGAAGGCGTAAATGATTCCTAAGAATTTTTCCATTAATTCATTATTACCAAATCGTACAAATAATAAAAGCCTCCCAAGCATTCGACATGTAGAGATCAAAAAGAGTAGGAGACTGAGCCAGGTGTGGTGGCACAAGCCTGTAATCCCAGCACTCGGGGAGGCAGAGGCAGGCAGATCTCTGTAAGTTCAAGGACAGCCTGGACCAGCTGCACACAGAAGCCCTGTCTCGAAAAAAAATGAAAAAACAAAAACAAAAAAAGAGTGGGAGACCGAACCACAGCAATTGCTGGAGCTTTGTCTGTCAAACAGCTGTGCCGGCTTTATGACTTTAACTGTTTCCGTTAGATACAGCTGTGGCAAGGATCCTCCTTCAAACTCGCCCTTACCCTAGGCCAGATTCAGTCCCTCTGGGTCACAGGGCTGCTGTCTGTTTCTTGTTGGCCAGGGTTGTTTCCTGACATCTCATGATCTGGGCTTTGCCCATGTCACCTTCCTTCTTTTCTCTCTGTTTTTCAGGTTTGTTCTTAATATTTTGCAATTTTTGATTGATTTCATGTATGTGAGTGTGTCGCCTGAATGCATGTCTATGCAGCACAGGCACGTCCTGGGGCCCCGGCATGTTAAAAGAAGTTTCAGGTCCCCTGGAATGAGTTGATGGACGGTTGTGAACCACCATGAGGGTGCTGGGAACCGAACCTGAGTCCTCTCTGCAAGAACAAGCGCTCTTAACCACTGAGCCATTTCTCTACCCTCCAGGTTTTCCCCCATTTATTTAGTTATTACTTTCCGTGTGTGCGTGTGTCTGTGTGTGTCCGTGTGTTTGTGCACATCTATGCCATACAAAGCATACAAGGTCAGAAGACAACAACAAGGCCAGTTTTGTTTTTTTGTTTTTTTTTTTTCAAATTTTTATTTTATTTGTTGTTTTTGTTTTCGTGGTTTTTTTTAACTGCTCCAGTCAATAGAAGGAAACTTTATTTGGTCCCGGTGTCATGGGCCAGGTACGGCCGCAGCTTTATTTGGCTTTCTTCTTGGGAAATAGGTTGTTGATGCGGCTGTACTTTTTTCTTGTGGCAGTTGACCGCACGGGGGCTTGTGCAGCACTTGCGCAGATCACCTCGTCACAGTTGTGCTTCTGAGCAAGCTAACGAACGGGTGTCCCGAGGATGGCACCATGCAGGCGCAGCACCAGCTGCAAGATGGACTCTTTCCGGGATGCGGCCGTCCTCCAGCTGCTTGCCGGCGAATATCAGCCGCTGCTGGTCAGGTGGGGTGCTGGCGTTTCTCAGGTGCTAATGTGACTCTTTGAGACACGGTGTGACGTGACGCAGGCAAGCTTTATAGTCTTGGGTGGCCGAAAGCACAGGCTGTCCCTAAGCCCCCTCTGTAACCAACACTGGAGCCAAACACCCAGGACATCTCAGGATAGACCCAGACCTCACTCTAGCTCAGGCTGGAACTCTTGCTCCTTCTGCCAGCAGCTCCAGAGCTGGGCTGCCACGTGCCCGCCACAAGCCCAAGTCCTGCCCGCTGAGCCCCACCTAGCATCCATGAAGCCAAAGCAGGCCCACGGGCCACTACATTCCTCCCTGGCGGGCCCTCCATGTCCCTTGCCCTGGCCTAGCTGCCACCCAACAAGGTCACTTTTTCCCTCTGCTAGGTGGGTCTCAGGAACCAACCAAAGTCAAGTTTCCAGGCTTGGAAGCAAGAGCCATCACCCGATGAGCCAACTCACCAGTCCCTTTTGCTTTGAAACAGGGTCTTACTGTGTTGCTCAGGGTGTCTCCAAATTACTGGGTTCATGACATTCTTCCATCTTAGTCTCCTACATAGCTAGAATTATAAGATAAATCGCTGAAGCCAGCTTGGGTCCCTCTTTTTCTCAACAGCCGGTGAGACAGCATTCCCTGGGACACAGGATATGTGCTAAGCGCTGTTAGAACATCGTCAAAATCCATTAAAAATCGCCAGGTGGCACACGCCTTTAGCTCCAGCACTCCGGAGGCAGATAAATAAATGAAGAGCCATTAAAAATCAAAGTACTTACACCTTTAATCCCAATACTCAGGAAGCAGAGTCAGGTAGATTTGTGTGAGCTCATGGCTATCCTAGACTATACAGTGTTTCAGGGTGCCCCATAAAGAGACCTTGCCGCAAAAACCAACCAACCAACCAACCAACCAAAAACCCGCACAAAGAAAAAAAGTCACCACTACTTGGTAATAATAAGTGTTGGCGCCTGAAATGACGAAGGCTGTTTTGAGACATAGCTGCAGCTGTTTTTGTGTTCAGAGTATTCAGCTTCCATTTTGTTTATAAGGTGAAATTAAGTTAAAATTTTTTTCACAGGGAGGGGCATAGGAGAAGAAGAGGGAGGGAGGGTGAGATTGGGAGGGGATGGGGAGTGAGCTACAGCTGGGATCCAAAGTGAATAAACTCTAATTAATAAAAATAAAATTAAGTTAAAAAAATTTTTTTTTCACTCAGGAGCCAGTCTCGGTGTCAAAAGCCTGTAATCCCAGCACTAAGGAGACAGAGGCAGGTGGATCTCTGTGAGTTTGAGGCCAGCCTGGTCTGCATAGTGAGTCCAGGACAGCCAAGGCTGCACAGAGAAACATTGTCTCAAACACACACACACACACCAAAAAAACAAAACAAAAACCCCAAAAACCAAAAAAAAACAACTTTTTAAAACTTCTAACCTTGCTTCCTAGAAGTTTTAACTACTTCAGGTAACCTATACGGACAGACCTTGCCAGAGGGTAGAGCTGACTTCATATTTTGTCATAACTCATACTTTGATATCTATGTACTTGCTGTGGTTGCACTTGAGTCGCACTTTGGATGACCCTCACTTACCTAGAACCAATCAGCTGAAAGGTTAGCTGATAATACTTTTGTCTAGTTGGCTAAAAATGTAACATTGCTTTGTACAGCCTGCCAAAATGTGTTACTGCCCTCCCATGCCTTTTATTCGGTTTGGTCAATAAAAAGACTGCCCTGAGAGCAGGTAAATGTCACAGTTAGTCTTTACTGTGGTCCTGATCCATCAGCTCGGAAAAGGTGTTTACTAAACCATCAATATTTATCTGAGCCCGGTGTCTGAGTGGTTTTCGCAGCACTTCTTAGGCTGGAACAATAAGTCCTTTGTATTTATAAGCACTCCTAACGTTTTCTTCTAAAGAAGCAAAAAATGGAGTTGGGACAATTTGCCTTTCTAATTAACAACTGTTGGCCTCTACCTTGCTGCCCTGACTGCCTTGAGCAAAAGAGTGGTGAGTCTAAGAGCCAGCTGGACAACCTTGAGGCTGGTTAGTTTAGCTGCCACTTCCCAGAGACCTTGAGGAAATGATATAAGAGGATTGCCATGGCTCCTGAATGCACAGGACTATTTGAACCAGTTTGTATCAGAGTTATTACAACCAGGTGTCTGGATAAATAAAGTTCTATCAAGCTTTTGTTTTGTTTTTGAGGCAGGGCCTCACTACGTTGCCCTATCTTGGTCTCACTGTGTTGTCCTGGCTAGCTTGGAGCTGACTATGTATTTTTTGTTTTGTTTTGTTTGTTTTTGCGACAGGGTTTTTCTGTGTAGTCTTGGCTCTCCTGGAACTTGCTGTGTGGACTAGGCTGGCTTGGAACTCAGAGTCCACGCCCCACCCTACCTGCCTCTGCCTCCCAAATGCTGGGATTAAAGGCTTATGCCAACGCCAGGCTGACCTAGAACTGATAAGACATTCCACCTGCCTCGGTGGAATGATCCCCACTGCAGGGATCAAAGGCTTGCGGCTTATAGTGTCAGCAACTGGATCCTGGAAGGGGAAAAGAAAATACGAAAAAGTCTTCAACGGCTCCAGGTTCGTAACCAGCAGCATCAGGTCACCGCCGCCCAGGAGCTCAGGATTACTACTAGAATGATAATTTCCTTCCTCTGGGCCCTTCCTCTTTCCCTCTGGGCCCCGCCTCTCAGACCCAGAGTCTTTTCCTCCGGAATCTCACCACTAAACTCTGCTTCCCTAGGTGTCCGACAGGGATAGCCAAACCTCCGTGCTTGGATTGTCTTGTAACCCCGCCCCCATGACCAAGACCCCGCCCTCCCGGCAGGGAGGCTTCGTGACCCGGAAGTGGTCCCGGAGGCGGCGGCCGCGTGGTTCCACGAAGCCCCGGCTGCGCTGCTGTAGTTGCTAAGATGACCAAAGTAAAGGCCGTTCCCGAGGAGTCCGAGGCGCCGGCGGAGGGCTGCAGCGAGGAGCGCACGTACCAAGAGCTGCTGGTCAACCTGAACCCCATCGCACAGCCCCTGGCCTCCCGCCGCCTGACGCGCAAGCTCTACAAGTGTATCAAGAAGGGTGAGCCGGGCAGGCCGGCGGGCGCGGGGCGGGCGCGGGGCCGGCGCTCCGGGGCTCCTGGAGGTCTCGGTCACGCTTCTCTTTGCAGCCGTGAAGCGGAAGCAGATTCGTCGCGGGGTGAAGGAGGTTCAGAAGTTCGTCAACAAGGGCGAGAAAGGGTAAGACCCCCGTCTTTTCGCTGCTTTTCGAGGTTTTGGTTTTTTGTGTGTGTGTGTGTGTGTGTGCTATGTTTTGCGGTGCTAGGGATTGAACCCAGCGCATTGTGCATGGTGGACAGTTACTCTGCCTTTGGGTTTTTAATCGACTAAGAAGAAATTCCGTCTACCTAGGTGCTCAGTAAAGGTGAGGTTGACTCTGACCAGTTACGGCAGTCAACCCCCTTCACTCCCCACACCCACTTCACTTACAGGAGATCCCACCGAAAGACAGGGAAGAAAATAGAAACCCAACCCGCGTACACTAGAGCCCTGTTAGTTCACTCTGTAGATTGACTTCAGGTAACGTGCTGTAGAGAGACATTTTCCCAAGCAGGCCAAAGGAGAATGAGAGTTAGCCTCCGCAACATAGCTAGTTTAAGGCGATCATGGGCTATGAAAACATCTCAAAAACAAAACAAAAAACCCAAAGAGGATAGAATGGTAGCCAGGAGTGGCGGCTTAGGCCGTTAATCCCAACAGAGCCAGATCTCTTTAAGTTCCAGGACAGCCATGGCTAAGTAGAGAGACCTTGTCCCAAAACAACAAAAAAGGAAATAATAAAGGAACGCTAATTTCGTGGTGGCATCTTGAGAAGCGCAGGCTCTTGGTCAGAGTGGCTAACACCTCGGCTGCGGGCCTTGGTTTTTTGTCTTTTTGACTTATTTTTGTGTGTGAATGTTTTGCCTGAATGTATATGTTTGTTCAGCACTGGTGTCCTTGGAAGCCAGAAGGAGGCAAGGTGTCAGATCCCCTTGGACATGGTGGTCATGCACCACCATGGGGGTGCTAGGAATCGAATTTGGGTTGGGCCATCTCTCCAGTCCTCTTGGGTCCTTTAAAGGAACGGTAGGTTTTGTTTTTGTTCTCAGAACACAGTGAAACCTGAAAAGTGATAGTGAGGAAAGAATTAGAGGCAAGTCAGGTTTAGGGGGCTGCTGTAGCCCGGGTGAGGTGATGAGGCAAGACTTAGGTTGATGGATTTGAGGGGGGCTGGTTTCTTTTTTTTTTTTTAATTTATTTTATGTAAATTGGTGTTTTGCCTGCATGTATGTCTGTGACGGTGACAGATCCCCTGGAATTGGAGCTGCACACAGTTATGAGCTGTTATGTGGGTGCTGGGAATTGAGCCCAGGCCCTCAGGAAGAGCAGCCATACTGCTCTTAACTCTTAACTTGCTGAGCCATCTTTCTATGACTTCTAGATGCTAGTTTGGGCTGTAGTCTGTGAGTGTAGAAGTGAAAGAAAACCAGATTTGTGTGAAAACAAGTATGCTTTTAGGTAACTTTTAAGTATTTCAAATGTTTTTGTTTTTGTTGTTTTAAAGAAGCCTCTTTTTTTTTTTTTAATTAAATTTATTTATTTTACATATGAGTGCCCTGCTGCGTGTACACCTGCATGACAGAAGAGGCATCTGATCCCTTTATAGATAGTCTCTAGCCACCATGTGGATGCTGGGAATTGAACTCAGGACTTCTGGAAGAGTGGCCAGTGCTCTCTCTCCTGGTTTGTTTTTTGGTAGCCTTGGCTATCCTGGAGCTCACTCTGTAGACCAGGGCTGGTTTCTAACTCACAGAGATCCGCCTGCCTCTGCCTCCTGAGTGCTGGGATTAAAGGCCTGTACCACCACCACCCAGCTTCAAATGGTTCTTATTACATGTGTGTACACATGTGTATTCTGGTACATATATTTACAGCAGAGGACAACCTGTAAGTGTTGGTTCTCTTCCAGTTTGGTTTCCACAGATTGAACCCAGGTGAGGCTTGGCAGTGAGTGTCTTTACCTTCTGAGGCCTCTGGACTTGATAGGGAAAATGCCCTGGGCATGCTCTGCTTAGCTGTCCTACAGACAGATGGTTTGTTTTGGTAGTGCACATGGAGACTGGTAGCTTCAGGTAGCACCTGGCATGACTATGGGTCAGGGCAGCAAGGTGAAGGGACCACAAGGGAGGACAGCAAAGCAGCAGTGAGGACCAGCCCTGTTCCAAAGGGAATGGAGTATGAAGATATGGTTTTGTCTCCCGTCTTTAAAGAACATTCTGCTGGTGGATCTTCAAGACTTCTGGGTCTGGTACACCGACAGCCTACAGCCTCAGCTGAGGACTCTGGCAAACTTGCTCTTGGGACAGGGCCTGTTTAAAACCTTAGGTGTGACTCCTCGCAGTCTCTGAAGCTTTGCTTTCTGGCCCTCCCAGTAGGTATCATAAAAGGCAACCCTTGTTCTCGCGACCAGCCCTTCAGCACCACTCTGATTCCCTTGTCCCTGCCCCTACAATTTTGGGAGCCTCCTCATGGCACACAAGTCTGTGTTCAAGGTTGGATTACTGATTGTAAGGAAAGCGGAATTGGTGTTTCTTGGCATTCCTCCTCTACCTCATCTGTCCCAGCACTGCACCTACTGCTTGTCACATTTGGTGGCATTTATGTGCTGTCAAGCAGAGATCATGTCCCCAGAAGAATGCATTTGCCAATCACGACTTTACACCCCCTTCAGAAGTTGGAGGCTGGCATTAGCTGTGGGTCCTTGGGGCATCTTAGTCATCTCTGCCCTCACAGCTCTGCTGGAGGTAGCACAACTGCAAGGGAAGGAGGGAGCAAAGTAGAAATGATGGTGCTTCTCTCGTTGCAGGATCATGGTCTTGGCAGGAGACACGTTGCCAATTGAGGTGTACTGCCATCTTCCAGTTATGTGCGAGGACCAGAACCTGCCCTATGTCTACATCCCCTCCAAGACGGTGAGGCTCATACCCACCCACGCTGCCCCTCCCAGCCCTGAGGAGGTTATCTGAGGAAGTAACTCAAGTGTTAGAATTCTTAGGTCTAGCTGGCTTGTTTCTTTTCGAGATGGTATCTTCCTTATTCCACTAGGGTGGCCCCAAACTTTTCAGCTCAAGGAATTCTGCCACGACTTTCTATGTGGCTGGGGCTAAAGTGGCTGGCAGGTTTTCTTCCAGTAAGGTGGAAATCTTGTGTATGCCGCGAATTTAAACAGACTACATTTGACCATGCCTTGTAAACTCTTTAAGATGTGGCACCCATGATCATACTGTTAGGTGTGTGCTCAGAACAGTTTGAAGGACTGTCTTTGTCCTTACATAGCTAGGACCACGTCTGGAGTACAAGGTGTGCAGAAGGGTGTTAGGGACTTACAGAACACTGCCCTGCTTACAGGGGTACCCTTCTAAGCCATGTGGCAGTATTCAATATTGGCTTGGGAGACCATGGTTTGGAAGCTTAGTTTAAGTAATGTCAACCATCTGAACTGTTCTTAAATGTAACGTATGCCAATGGGATATGGCTGTGGAACAGATTATGCTGGTCACTTGGGACCCCTGTACCCAGCAGCTTTTTATCTTTTTGCTGTTTTGTTTTTCCAGACAGGGTTTTGCTTTGGCTTTCCTGGACTTGCTTTGTAGACCAGGCTGGCCTGAACTCAAGAGGATCCACCTGCCTCTACCTCCTGAGATCACAGCTTTTCTCCTCTTCTGTGCAGGACTTGGGTGCAGCTACAGGCTCCAAGCGTCCCACTTGCGTGATCATGGTGAAGCCCCATGAGGACTATCAGGAGGCCTATGACAAGTGCCTGGAGGAGGTGCAGGCTCTGCCTACGCCTTTGTGAGAGACTTGGGCTGCAACCCAGCCCCTGTTCCCAGAGCTGCTGGGCTGGCTGCAGGCAGCTGCCCACCTTAACAGCATCTCCACAATTTCCTGATGTGTGAATCTTCCCAGGCAGCTCCAACAGCTGTTCTTGAGGGTAGAGCCAGCATCTTTTCCATCATTGCTATCTCCTGTTGAGCTTAGATGAAGACAGTTCCAAGAATGTGGGGTAAAAGTAAATGCTAAGGCAAAAATGTGGCAAGTGTGGGGGTGTCTTTAAACTCCAGCTGCTGACAAGCCAAGAAGTTGGTAGGAGGAACAACAGCAGCCTTTCGGCACAGAGCTTCAAGAGTCCCAGCATACATGAGTCTCCAGTTCCCACTCCAGGACAGTTGGGGTCTTGGAGGCTAGGCAACAAGACCCAGACTGCGCCTCACAGAAGCCTGTGGCCCCTGTGTCAGGGAAGCCACCAAGTGCCTTGCATCTCTGATAGAATTAGTTACTGCCTATCCACGTGGTAAATTTTAAGTGGGAATATGAACTCTGAACATATCCTAGTTCTGGAGGCTGGAGAGGTGGTTCAGCAGTTAAGAGCACTGGCTGTTCTTTAGAAGACCTGGGTTCAGTTCCTAACACCCACTTCGTGGCTCATAACATGTGTGTAATTGCAGTTGCAAAAAAACTAAAGTCTTCTTCTGACCTCCATAGGGTACCAGGTAGGCACATGGTACAGATAAATATACATGCAGGCATAACACTCCTACACATAAATTAATTAAAAACAAAAACCCCGAGTCCTCCCACTTGACAAGACTTTGAAGCACTTTAAGCTTAAAGTTCTCTCCTGTAAAAAGCCCTATTCTGTAGTAAGAGGCATGTAGCTGTTGGTCAGTGAAACTCAAGTCTGGCCAGCAGTAAGGAGAAGGGCTGTGAATATATTTGCTCAAAGTTATAAAACAGCATTCAGTTCTAACGGGCTATTTACAGTGGAGAATGGATACATACAGCTAAGACTGTACAGTGGGAGGTGGCCATAGCTGGAATCCCCTGGTTTGAGGGAGTAGAAAGATGTCTGCTTTTGGTGGCCAAGGCCTTTGCTACTTAGTCAGAGCCAAGTGTAAACAGAAAGATAGCAGAACACAGCAGCTAGTCCCCTTACAGCCAAGGAAGCATAAGCTGGTTCACGGCCTTCCCTTGGCTTCTGCCTGGCAGCCTGGGCCTCTTGGTAGTGCTGGTCTGAGGGGCATCACGATCCACTGAAGCCAGTCCTTCTACCAAGGCAAGCCAAGGCCCATGGGTAGGTGACACCTTCCAGAAAGTTCCTTGGAATCAGAATATGATACGTTTCCCATCTGCTGGATTCTGTTCCATGGGACAGTAGGGACACTTCAGCCTGCAAGGAAAGGCAAAGCAAGATCATCTTAGGGCCAGCCAGGATAGCCAGGCCAGGATGCAGCCGAGTAGGGGGAACTTACTTTCCTCCATTGATGAGCTTGTTGAGTGCATCTCGGGAGATGACGTGGCCACAGATGAGCTTGATAGGGGGGTTGGAATCTGAGGTCTGCTGTCGCAGGATAGGGCATGCAAACACAGAGTGATACCAGCACTTCATGCCCAGCTCGATCTCAATCTGGGAAGGCCAGCAAAAGGCTGAGTTACACTTCCGGCCTGAGCCGCGTACCCCAGCACCTGCCTGAGGGTACCTCCCCAGCCTGGCCTTACCGGCAGCTCATCCTTGTGACTCCACACCCCAGTGCACTGCCTCTGTTCGATCACAGCTTTGATGTTCATCAGCACTGGCAGCGCCACACAGCCAGAAGCAAAGCTGAGGAACAGAGCAGAGGCTAACGCAGCTGGGATCACAGGGACCAGCACACTGTCCAAACAAGGACCGGTGGGCCAGAAGAATGTCAGATCCTCTGGAACTAGCTAATGAGAGCTGTGAGCCACCGAGAGGGTACTGGGAACCGAACTCCAGTCCTTAGCAAGAGCACCAAAATGCTAGACTCACGTACATTGCTAGGTATGTTCAACTCCATATTTGCTCTAACGCACCCCAAGATCTGAAAAGCCCCAGTAAGAAAAACAGGCAGTTGAAGTACTTGTCCAAAACAGTGGAAAGCCCCTGATACGGAACAGAGAACGGTTGAAGGGGTCAGAGCCTGCCTGCAGTTTAACCGGCTCTGTTGCTGGGGCACCAGGTAAGAGTGCCAACAAAGATCTCTCTAAAGGAGTTCTTTCTCGAGATGACTAGGGAGCAGGGAGCCCACTGGCTGGAACCTCAGGTGGTTACTGCAGTGCAGCCCTGCCCCAACAGACACTGTCTAGGGCCAGTGGTGACCTTGCTGGGAAATGCTGTTGTAACCTAACTCCACAGCCACAGCGTAGGCAAGTGCAGCCTCTTCTCTACACCACAGCTGTCTGCTGTGGTGGCTTGTGTTTCTTGGACCAGTCTAGGTGCTCTTTGTTTCTTTGACTCCCTGTAAGTTAGCTCGTGGCAAACCTCCATCTTCTTATCTGCTAACTGGGTAAGAGGGCTTCTAACTTGGGCCTGCTGTCAAGTGAGCAGAGACCACTGCAGTGCAGAGATGAAGCAGCAGCTCCGTGCAGGGAAGTGATGTCTTGGTGAGGTTCTTAGAGGGTGGTTGGATTACTGAGAGGGTAGTGTAGTTGCCCAAGGGGAGCATGCAGGAGAGGTGGGCCCTCGAACTGTAAAAACCAGCAGTGCAAAGGTCTCAAGGGAAGATGCCGAGCCAGCTTAGGTCTGTGAAAGCACATGGTAGAGCCGGCACAATTGTTTCCTTTCCTGCCTTTCCCCCTGTGCTGACCTCAGGAGGCTGGGTTGTACCTGACGCTGAGGGGGGACTCCACGGAAAGCCCCAGCAGGGCGCATGCATCCCGAGTGAAGGTCTCACAGATCTCGGCCCAGTGGCTGTTGTCTAAGAGGTGACAGTACGGTGACTTCTCCAAGCCCAGCCGCAGGTATACCAGGCTGCCCATCATCACCTGGATCTCTACAAGACAAGGGGACGGCAGTTCAGGCAAAGCAGAGACTCTGGGCCATACCCCAACGAGCCACAGAATCGCAAAGTCCTCCGCGGGGCAGGGGCATCTACAGGCTGTTCAGGTCTCCAGCGTTCTGACTGCATCACAAGCACACCTCTGCTTGGCACAGAACGTCTCCATTCACCAGCTCTAATCCTGCCCCTGATTTTTTTGAAACTGATCTCTGTAGACAAAGTTGACCTCAAACTGCATCCTGTGTACTAGGATTAAGTGTGCTGCCACTATGCCCAACTTCTCCCTTTTAACAGCAGATCCAGGTTTTAAAGCTTTAGGAGGCAGGAGGAGCTAAAACTGTTGCTTGCTGGTAGGGTGGGTTGGGTGGATGGTGGCTAAGTAGTAAAACAGTATTGATAAGTCATTCCACCCCCAGCACCACATACATAAATATCACTGCTTAGCTTTTTTTTTTTTGGGGGGGGGGTTCAAGATAGGGTTTCTCTGTGTAGCCCTGACTGTCCTAGACTGCCTTTGTATATCAGGCTGGCTTCCAACTCAGTGATCCACCTGCCTCTGCTTCCTGGGGTGCCTGGCTTTTTTTCTTTTTTGGTTTTGTTTGAAGACAGTTTCTCTGTGTAGCCGAACTGTGTGTCTGCCTTGTGGTCTTTAACTCTTGACTTGGGATCTTGCCACTGCATCATTGCCATGCTAGCCTAAACTCCAAATCTGAAGCTGTCTCCCTGCCTCAGTTATGCCTTGGCTTCGGACTTCACTTTAGAGGCAAACGAGGGTCAAAGGTTTCTGAACTGCTGGGAGCCATCTTTCTGGTAAAAGTGTGGGTACAAACACAAGCCACCTGACATGGCCATTGGCTGGAGCCTAACCACTACCCCCAGCACCCTGGGCACTTACCTCTCTGGTGCAGCCGAGCAAAGGGCTGGAAGTGCCTGGCATAGCTGAGGGCCTCCAGCTGCTTCTCGGGGCCTCCCGCTAAGAGGCGGATAAAGTGCAGCCGGTGCAGCTTGAACTCCAGTGAGCTGTTGAGTTCCATCAGGCGCTGCCTATGGGAGACAGCCCACCTGGGGAGAGAGCACAGTGTAGTGGAGTGGGTGATGGCTGCAGAGGGCCCTAACGGACAGTGTGACCCCTAACACATGGCTAGGATGAGTCAGGTATATCTAGGTGAGGTGACCGTGGGCAGGGCCCACTGTGGCTCCCTTACTCCAGTGCAGGTCCCAGGTCTTGCTCGTGCAGGGCTTCCAAGATCCGATTCAACTCCAAGAAGGGCTGCTTGAAGTCCAGGTCCACATTCAGTGTTGATTCCTGGGGAAGACGGAAGGCAGTGTCTCCAAAAGTCTGCCCATAATAACAATCAGCCAAAGGTCGGCTGGAGAAAGGCAAGGAACCGTGGTCTGCTAATATGAGCCCCTGTCTGTCCATCCTGCAGAGGCTGAGCACCAGCCACAGTGCACCCTTCCCTCTGCTGCACAGAGTCCCCAGGCCTGGCACTGAATGGCCTAGTGAGAGAATTTTTTAAAATAATTAATTTTATTTTATGTGTGAAGGTGTCAGATCCCTTGGAATTGGCGGTATAGACAGTTGTGAGCTGCTATGTGAGCTGCGAATTGAACCTGGGTCCTTTTGAAGAACAGACAGTGCTCTTAACCACTGAGCCATCTCTCCAGCCCTGGGAAAATAGTATTTTAATCTGGCTAATTACATTAAGGCAAAGACCCCTGTCCCTGGTGTGCTCAGCACTGAACTAGTGCTATTTGTCATTTTACTGACCCCTTAAAAAGGACAGCAGGCCCTGGCTCCACACCGCCATAGGCAACCAACTCTGAACAGGGATCAGTAACTTTTTATCAGATACAATTGGAGGGAGCTCCTGCTTTGTAGTAGGGACCAAGTTCCTTTTTAGCATAAATAGAAAGAATGTCAGTGATTAGGCCTCCAGGAGGGGCATGCATACTAAAATAGTCAAGAATATCCGGGACCAGATAGAAACGGGCAGAAAAATGCAATGGGCTGGACAGAGTGGTGGTGTGCACACCCATAATCCCAGGATTTAGGAGACTGAGGCAGGAGGCTAACAAGGAAGCTGGCCTGGGTTCCACAAGCAGGCCCATCTCAAACAGCAGGAGAGAGAGGCCCTGCACTCCGAGGCCAATGTTACCTGGCACAGCTCCTCAGCCACACTGAGCATGCCCTGCTGGTACAGGTGCTCCACAATGGCCATCTGCAGGATCTGCTGCTGCTTCTCACGGGAGTCCCACACAGCATCGGAGACCACGCCGCAGATCTCAGAGTCGAAGTTCTGAGAGAGAAGAGACAGTCTGTGACTCGGGCGCTCACACTCGTGTTCCTGCCACGCCAGCACACACAAGCTCTAGGTGTTTCCACCCCTCGACCCTGGGCCACCCACAGACTCACCCTGTCAATGGCTTTGCCCACCCGGGAGACACTGCTGTGAATATCCTTATGGTCTGAAGCCAGTTTCTGGACTGTGTCTTTGATTTTCCGACAGCACTGGGACATCACAAGGGAGAGGGTGGCTGAGAGAGGGGTCCCCTGGAGAGCTGTAGAGACAGCAGACTGTCAGGACAGAGGAGGCAAGTCCTGGGCAGCTTCCGAGGCAGCCAGTCTGCTTCCTCCTGCACGCCAGTGTGGTCGCCTGAAGACAGCCCTGCACACTGAGTTTAACACCTACCTCTAGCCTGTGACCAGCCAACCTTTTTTTGGATCTCACTGTGTAACTCTGTCTATCCTGGAACTCACCATGTAGACCAGGGTGGCTTCTAACTCACAGAGATCTTCTTGACTCTGACTCAAGAGTACTGAGCTTATGAGCCAATGTGGGACTTGGAAGTGGCCACATGGAACAAGCCACTGTGTGTGTTTGTTTACAATAAGTAAAAAAAAAAATAATTTAAGATTTTTAAGAACTTGATGGCGCACACCTTTAATCACGGCGCTTGGGAGGCTGAGGCAAGTGGATCTCTGAGTTCTAGCCAGCCTGGTTTACACAGTTCCAGGCCAGCCAGGGCTATGTAGAGATCCTGCCTCAAAATAGATAGATAGATAGATAGATAGATAGATAGATAGATAGATAGATAGACAGACAGATAGACAGACAGACAGACAGACATAAATACATGAATAAAATAATAAGAATTTATGTAGTTAGTTGCACGGGTGGAGAGGAGGACAAACAAAATACTTAGTTGCATGGGTGTGAGGGGAAGTCCATGACATGGGCAGCAATGCACACTGGAGCTCAGAAGACAACTTGCATGAGCGGATTCTCTCCTCCTACCATGTGGGTCCCAGGGATTAAACTCGGGTTGTCAAGCTCGGCAGCAGATGCCTTGTACTTGCTAAACCATCTCACTAGCCCACAAGCCAGCATCTTGGTGACTTCATTTTCTTAGCTGTAAAATTCTAGGTTGCTGTGAATACTAACTTGGTACCTGTGTGCTTTATTTCATCTTGAGTATTGGCTGTCCTGCAGGCTTCCTTGTGAACTGTCAGGTTAAACTCAAAAGTTACCCTGAACCCAGCAATTCTACTTCTAGGAGAAATGGAAACATGTCCACACAAAGCCAAATGTGTGAAACTCTTCCTAGCATTCTTTACGAGAGCACAGAGGTAACAAGCCAGTTCCCATCCACTGGGAACTGGGTAGAGAATATCACACATGCATACAACAGGATATTAGCAATAGCAGGTATGATGTGCTGATACATTGCAACAGAAACAAAATGTGGGAACATCACAGCCACCCCAAATAAATAAAAGTCAGTTGAAAATAAACTGGCAATGTTAGTAATTTCAGGTAAAATTAATTTCTGTTAGGTTTTCTGAACGAGCTGAGGCCTTTACCACCTTCAAGGAAGCCTAGAAAGGCACGACCAAGACTGCCTGGTCTGTAGCCTAGCTACATGGCCCCTGGGATGGTCACAAACCTGCACTGGCCAGCTCGGCCCTCAGCTGGCCCACGTAGTGCAGCAGCTCCTCCAGGCTCTGTTCGCAGTGCTGCCCATAGGTCAGGAACTTGTGCAGGACCTTATCCAGCTCCCTCTCCACACACGCACACTGTTCCATGGCGGCCTCTGCCTAGTGACAACAACGGGGTCAGGCCAATGTGCATTTGCTGGGGGGCTCCGACAGCACTTCTTCAGCTCGCCCTCACCCCTCCTGAATGATACATCAGTGCCCTGCTACACAACGTGCTTCCCAGCCACGATCAATGAGATGGCAGACAGCAGCTGGCCTAAGGACAGAGTTGTTTTCAACTATAGTAAGAAAAATTACTGTCAGCTGGGCATGGCAACACACACCTTTTATCCCAGCACTCCGGAGGAAGAGGCAGGTGGATTTCTGAGTTTGGGGCCGGCCTGATCTACAAATTGAGTTCCAGGACAGCTAGGGCTGTTACACAGAGAAACTCTTGTCTTAAAAACAAAGACAAAACAAAATTACTGTCTTAAACTTTTTGCTTTGTCATCCTTGTTCAGCCCCCGAAATACACATCTTTTAAAAGATGTATAACTTCTGTGTGTGTGTGGGTGGGTGCCGGAGGAAGTCAGAGGTGGGATCCTGATCACTAGGCAGTGGTGGCACACACTTTTAATTCCAGCACTTGGAAGGCAAAAGCAGGTGAATCTCCATGAGCTGTAGGCCAGCCTGGTCTGTGCAAGTTCCAGGACACCCAGGGCTACACAGAGAATCCCTGTCTCAAAACCCTCCTCACTGCAAAAGAAGTAGGCTTCGGGTATCTTGGAACTGGAGAGCTGCTCCATATGGGTTCTGGAAACCAACTGGTCCTCTGCAGGAGCAGCAAGACCCCATGACTACTGAGCCATCCCTCCAGGCATCCCTTTGTAATGCACAGAGCAACCTTGAGCATCATCCCCAAGAAAGCTGTCCACTTCCTTTTAGACTGGGTCTCTCACTGGCTTGGAGCTCACCAGTTGGATCAGGCCGGCCAGCCAGTGAGCCCCAGAGATCCTCCGGACAGCTCCCGGTGCTGATTACAAGCAGGAACCACCACATCCAGCATTGCTTTACGAGTATTGGAAGTGTATAGGTGTTTTGCTTCATGGATGTATGTGAACCACGTTTACGCAATGCCTGCAGAAGCCAGAGGACACTGGATCCCTTTTCAGGCAGTATGAGCCACCCTGTGGATGCTGGGAAATCAAACCTGGGCCTTCTGAGTACACCAGTGCTCTTAGCTGCTCAGAGGTTAAGAGCATTGGTTATATATCCAAAGGTCCTGAGTTCAACTCCCAGCAACCCCATGGTGGCTCATAACCATCTATAATGAGATTTGGTGCCCTTTTCTGGCCTGCAGGCATACATGCAGGAGAATACTGTATAAATAATAAAAAAATAAAATATTTAAAAGCAAAACAAGAAGGATTCTGGGTGTCATACTCAGGTCCTTACAGGACACATGCTTCAGAGACTGAGCCTCTGACAAACCCTCAGTTCTTAATCACAAGACTGGCCTCGCTAGTTCCTCAGCAGAGCATATGAAAGAAAAACCTAGGCTCCTGGTTGCATGTATTTTCATATATTCACTATGGCCACCTTCTCTTGCAGTTGGTGGAACTGGTTTTTCATGTACTGCAGGGAGATAAGCCATGAGGACAGTCCTTGAATAGGTGTTAATTTCAAGTGCAGCTTTGGGAATAACTGCCCATTGTGGGGGCTGTTTGGGCCTCCCCATCACTTAGTTAATGACTTCTTATGTCTGGACAGCCAGAACCCTTGCTCTCACCACGCCAGGCCCCGGAACCTCCCTGGTTGAGTCCTCCAGCCCAACTCCTCAGTTGTCATAGGTGGCTGGCCCAAGCCTCACCTGCCTGGCTCCCTCACCCTTCTCTCTGTACCCTTAGTTCTGATCACTGAGTGATGATGACTGAGGGCCTGTCTCCCTGCCACACCAGAATGCTCTCTTGCTCTACTGTGCCATGTGTGATATTTATGTGTGATGTGCATGCAAGTGTCTGAGTACAGGTACATTTGTGCATGCCACAGTGTGGGCATGGAGGTCAGAAGGTAGCCTTGCATAGGTTCTCACATTCCACCTTTTTTGTTGTTCACTGCTGCCTATTCCAGGCTAGCTGGCTTGGGAGCCTCCAGCAATTGTCCTGTCTCAATGAAAGAATGAGACGCTGGGATTAGTTATCCCCTACCATGCCTGGCTTCCTGTGAGTTCTGGGAATTCTCAGGTCCTTATGCTTGTCTAGCAACACTGAGCCAGCACCCAGCTCACAGCTGACACCTTACTCCACCTCCTCCTTACTGCAGGCTTTCTCCTAACCCTCTCCCCTTTGCAGCCCCCTTTTTTGAGTAGCCTGCAACGTGGAGTACACAGATAATCCTCAGAATGGCAGCAACAGATCTTCTGCACCCACACAGGACTAGAAATAAGAGGACTGAGTTATGTGTCCCTCTAAAGGGGTCGATGAAGCCAGCTATCTCTCAAAAGTGACATCACAAGAAGCCGATGTCCATAGTGACCCTGGGCTCTACCCACTTCCTCCACTCTCCTAGTCCACAAGTACCACCCATCTTGGCTTTCCCCTCTCAGCCATTATCTCTCTCCCAAATGGGGAACAAATGACAGGGAAATAGTGCTGGGCGTTGGCTGATACTATCTTCCACAATAAAATCTGTGATCACACCATCCACAGATTGATCTCCCCCAAACCCAAACTCTACAGTCATAAGATATGATGGGTAAAATGTAATAGGGGCTCACGTTTAAAATGATATAATTATTTTGCTTGGTAAAAACTAACATTCCCCAGAGGCTCCTTATGTGTTCCAATGACTTCAACCCATTAACTCATTCACTTTTCTCACAACACTATGACGTAGGTATGGTTATTAGACCCACTTTGCAGCTGAGAAAATGAGACAGGGAAAGATAAAATAAACGCCCCAAGGCCACACAGCTAGCAGTGGAGGAGTGAGAACAGAAGGAAGCTTGCTATCTGGTTCTTGGCTGAGGCCCTCTCCTTAAGAACTTTGCACAACAGGATGGGCAAAGCAGGCCGCTTCCCAGCAAGAAAGAAAGTGGTGTGTGAGTACACGGCTGGGATGAACTCTGTAGGGTCTGTCAGTTACGACAACAAACAGGAGCGCAAACCGCCAGCTGGGCAAGATGGCAAGAAAGAGTGGCCGCCAAGAGGGTCTGGATACCAGAGCCACAATTTATCAAAGATTACTGTGGCTCAAGGACAGGACCTCATCATGGCCAAAATGTCTGGCCCTGTCAGATACCAACTGATATTAGGACTATCAGAGGGAAACCCTGAAACCATGAAAAAAGCAGAGGACGAGCCAGGCAAATGGCTCAGTGGGTAAGATGCTTGCCACCCAGACTGGTGACCTGAATATGATCCCCAGAATCACAGGTGGAAGGAGCCCACAAAGCTGTCCTCTATCTGCTAAATGCAGCACTCAGGCCACATTCATGGCATTCAGGCCTGCTCCCCAAAAGAATTAAATATGTAATTTTTAAGGCTGAGAAAAGCCAGGTGTGGTACATACCTTTCAGTTTAGTGATTGGGAGGAAGAGGCAGACCAACCACTGTCAGTTGTTGGCCAGGTTGAGCCACGTAGTAAGGAGTGCACCCTGCTCCCTACCAACAACAAAACAAGGAAAGAAAGAAGAAAAAAGGCTACATGTCCAATAGACAATGTTTTGTCCTGCTCTTTAAAAATGTATTTATAGCCGGGTGTGGTGGCACACTCAGGGAGGCAGAGGCAGGCAGCTGGAGGCCAGCCTGGTCTACAAAGCAGAGTCCAAGACAGCCAAGGCTACACAGAGAAACCCTGTCTCAAAAAGTAAAAAAGAAAAAAAAAAGTATTTATTACTGTGCCTTACTGGTGACGGGAGGGGGGGCCCCACATATGCCATGTTCAGAGGACAACTTTGTGAAGTCAGTTCTCTCTTTCCGTGCCGGTTCCTGAGATGGAACCCAGGTCACCAGGACTATGTAGCAAGTGCAAGTGCCTTTACCCACCAAGACATCTTTTTTTTTTTTTTTTTAAGATTTATTTATTTATTATACAGAGTTCTGCCTGCACATGTACCTAAACAGCAGAAGGCGGCACCAGATTTTATTATAGATGGTTATGAGCCACCATGTAGTTGCTGGGAATTGAACTCAGGACGTTTGGAGGAACAGACAGTGTTCTTAACCTCTGAGCCATCTCTCCAGCACGCCCCTCCCCACATCTTCCCCCCCCCCCCCCAGACATCTTGCTGATTCTTTGTTGTTATTTTGAAATAGGGCCTCATGTAGTTCATGCTGGACTTAATGTCAGGCATGCACCCCACCAACTGAGCTGCACCTTGAGTCCATTCAGAGATCGGCCTGCCTCTGCCTTCCAAGCATTGGGACTAAAGGTGCACCACCGTCACCCAGCTCCAGCCTCATCTTTTTGGTGTTTGAGACAAGATCTCCCTAAATTGACCAGAATGGCCTTCAGCTCACTGTTTCTCAGACTGACCTTAAATTTGAAATCCTCATGCATTTGTAAGACCTGGGGTCTCACAGCTCAGGAGTTCAAGATCATGCCCTTCCCAGGAACTCCCACAGACCACAGTTCGATGCAAAAGCAAGAGGTTCTTTTTTATTCCAATAGCAATAGGGTCGCCCCTCCAAAGGCAGGAGATGACCCCGAGCATGCAAAGCACAGGGTTTTTATACTTAAAAATCTGGCCACTTTTGCTCTATACATTGATTGGTCAGCAAGAATAGCATGAAGATAGTTTACAGCTAGTTGTTTGCAGTTTTTGGCGGTTTGTGAGTTTTCTCAAAACAATTCACCCTGCCCTTATTATTTTAAAAACTATCTCGGAGCAGTTCATCCTGCCCTTTGAGAGCTATCTGCCTCTGGCTTCAATTCCAGGCTATCTCGGAGCAGTTCATCCTACCGTTCCAGAGCTATGTGCCTCTGGTTTTAATTCAAGGATGGGAATAGTCACAGCTGTTTTTCTTTTACAGTTGTTTTCATTCTCGGGTGGGCTCTCACATTCAGCTTCCCAAGTAGCTGGGATTATATGCCTACCAAGAATGACATTAATTTTTAATCAATGTATTGATTTTTCAGGGCCAGGACCACACACATGCTGGGCAAATGCTAAACCACTGAGCTACACCCAAAGCCCTTGCTTCTGAGTTTTTTATTTCCTTACACTCACTTCACAAGCACCCTCTGCAAGACCGAAGTTAATCCTTACCTCCCAAAAGGTCACCAGTTACCTCTCTGAAAACCAGGCTGACCTGGAATTCACAAAGATTCACCTGCTGGATTTGTGTGCTACGGCCCCTAGTTAAATCCACCTTTTCCCATGGGTCCTAGGGATCCAGCTCAGGCTTTTACTCACAGAGCTATTTCCCTTGTGCAGCCTTCTTGTCTGCATCACAGACCTGGTGTGTCAGTCCCACACACTTCTGAATCCTTCTGACTGATTGCTTACGTGTGTGTCCCAGGCTAGACTACCAGCTAAGCAAAGCCTGGAGACTGGTTTCATCCTCTCCCTCCCTGCAGGGCCTGGGCCACCACAGAGCTGAGTAAACCCTGATCAAACAGTACCTCCATTTCCTAGCCTTTGGAAGACCTGAATCAAAATCTCCCGGTGGGTAGAAAAAGATAGGAAGAAAATGTTACAAGGTTCTCACTACAGGAGCTGGAGAGATGGCTCAGTGCTTAGGAGCACTTGTTCTTGGGGATAACCCAGATTCGGTTCTCAGCACCCACATGGCAGCCAACAACCTCCTGTAACTCCAATTCCAGAGACCCTGAAGCCCTCTTCAGACACTGCGTTCAGGTGGTGCCCAGACACACAAGAAGGCAAAACATAGCCATACACCTAAAAAAAAAAAAAAAAAAAAAAAAAATCTGTTGGGTGTGGTGGCTCACATTTTTAACCCCACCACTCAGGAGGTAGAGGCAGTCAGATCTCTGTGAGTTCAAGCCAGCCTGGTCTACACAGTGAATTCCAGGACAGCCAAGGCTATGTAGAGAAATACTACCTCAAAAATTAATTAAGTAATTAATTAATTAAACCTGAGGTTGGGTGTGGCGTGTGGCGGTGCATAATTTTAATCCCCCCTAGCTCCAGGGAGGCAGAGGCAGGTGCATATTTGTGAGTTTGTGGCCAGCCTGGTCTACTTAGGAAGCTCCAGGCCTGCCTGGGCTATAGGAGACCCTGTCTCACAGACGACAACAAAACAAACAAAAGGAAAACAAAAGCTCTATCCAAACAAACTCCCCTTGTTATCACTCATTCCCACCACTTTCCCCCTCACTTGCCACACTCTACCTCCACTGGCCTTTCTGTTTCCAGGGTCCATCCAGTTCCATCTGCTTCCACCGTCTGCCCAGAACACTCTCCTCACATCTCCCCAGAGATGTCTCCTTATTTAGGTCTCGGACATAAGTGTCATCTTTCCCAACCACAACACAATGCCCTGTACTCTTACCTTCAAACAAATCATATCCCTATTGACATTAGAAAGTTTCACATCGTAACCTCTTCACCTAAAACTGAAAGGGCAGGAAAGCCCGCCGTTTCCCTAAGGGGATGCTACGACCCCGACTTCACCCGCATTATAATGCAAAAGACTGGCAAACTCCTATCCATCCTTCCAAAGACCATCCTGCAGTGTCCTGCCGGGGCCCCCACCGCCCGCAGCTGGTTACCTCTGTGCCAGTCAGGTGCACTAAGATGGGACGTCTGAGTCCGGGCGACTCCTCCAGCCCTTGGAGGGTGTGGCCGACGACTGCTCCAGGCTTTGATCGGGGCGCCCCGCACCCCGGGACCCGGAGCCCGCAGGCTGTCACCTAGTCCAGCAGCCCAGCCGGCTTCCGGCGCCGCTGTCATCGGAACCGGAAGGCGCGGCGGTTGCCCCTCGGGTGGGTCCGGGCTCGCCCATGCGCGGTGTCGCTGAGCGTGGGGAGACCGGCCGTCTCACCCACGGCTTTGCGAGGAATGCCGAATGGAATCGCTCGGCTCGCAGGAATCAGGAGGCGATCAGCGCCTGCGCAGTGCCGGGACCCTTCGTCCCAGCGATTCGGAGCGAACCTCGGTTTCCGCGGGCCAGAACCAGCGGAGGATGGTCCTGGGTTTCTACCGGAAGTTTTAGCCGGCGCACCTGCCGAACCCGAGCCCTCAACCGCAAGCCCTATCTTCCTAAGTCTCAAAAGTCGAGGCTGGGCTAAGGGGAGCTGAGGCCGGAGGAGCGCCGCGAGTTCCAGGCCAGGCTAGACTAGACTACAGAGTGAGACTGTCTCAGAAAATAAACAAAGCTGAGCACATATAATCTTATAATTATATGAAGATCGGACGTTCAAGGGTACATAGTGAGTTAGGGTCAGCCTGAGCTACTTGAGACTTTGTCTTTTTCGTTTGTTTGTTTTGAGACCTTGTCTTAAAAAAAAAAAAAAAAAAAAAAAAAGCACCAGGCATTGCTCAGCGGTGGAGAGTGCACGCGCATGTCCCTTGTCCCATCCGGAAAAATACAAATGTTATATGTACGTAGCCTAATGATTAAGGCTCAGGCCTGTAACTGCAAGATTCCTGTAGAGTGAGGATTCCTGGGCTTGCCTGCCGCCTAAGGCAGCTGAAAAGCAGAGCTCCAGGAGCAAAGAGAGACCATATCTCAAAACAATAAGGTGGAGTGATAGAGTGAGACACCCGAAACCCTTTTCTGGCCTTTTCACACTTGCCCAGCAAGCACACCCACGTACACACATTCACGTCTCTCACACACACAATTTTAAGAGCTGTTTTTGTCCTTGCCCGTCACCTAACCCTACACTTCCACAGGCCCTGGCCCCGCTGCTCTCTTTGGTAAGGGGGGGGGGGGGGAAAATGGAAGGAACAGGTGTTGCGTATCTGCCCTAATTAAAAAGGGTGAAGGAGCCATGCATGGTGGTGCACGCCTGTAATCACAGCAGTCTGGGAGGCAGAGGCTGGTGGATCTCTGTGAGTTCAAGGCCAGCCTGATCTACAAAGTGAGTCCAGGACAGCCAGGACTACACAGAGAAACTCTGTCTCGAAAAACAAAACAGAACAAAAAAAGGTGAAGGAGCCGGGCGTAGTGGCACCCACTTTTAATCCCAGCAATGGGGAGGCAGAGTCAGGCAGATCTGTGAGTCTGAGAAAAGTATTCTTCAGTATCTCAGACTGGCTTTAAACTCCGTGTGTCATGGAGGATAATCTCTCCACCTTCTGTATAATGGGATTACAGGAATGCACCACTACCTCCACCCAGGGTCCGTCCTCTAGCCCCTCTTGCCTTGGGGCAGAGTAAAGAAGACTTTTTCTCAGATCTGAGTAAGACAAGGAAGACGAAGGCTTCTTTCCTGACAAGCAGCTTTTTTTTTTTTTTTAAAGTCAGGGTTTCCTCTGTGTAGCCCTGGCTGTGCTGGAACTGGCTCTGTAGATTATGCTGGAACTCAAAGAACTCAAATGCCCCTGCCTCACCACCGCCCACCGCCTGGCTAAAGCAACTTCCTTTTACTGCTGGTTTCCCCTCAGGGCAATTATCGTCCCCCTCTTCCCTCCTCCTCCACCTTGCACAATCTAGCATTGTTTTCTTTACAGCCTGGGCTTGAAATCATGTGTTTATGTGTTGATTTTGTCTTCTTGCCCCTATCTCCATCTCCGCCTCCCCAACTTTTAGAATAAAAGTTCCATTGGGCTCAGGACTTTGTCCCCATTGCTATTGGAACAGAGTAAGCACAGAGATGCTGGGAATTGACCGACATCCTCTGCTGAATAAAAGAGGAAACTGTGGCTCACAAGCTTCTGAAACACAGCAGGGAAGAAGGCGTCTCAAAGAGGGAAGCGAGCCCGCAGGGGAGTTGTGACCCTACTAGCATCCTGGAGATGCCTAGTGGTATCTCGGAAGCCTGGGTGGTCCTGGCCCCACGCGGAAGTCGCGGGGGCGAGAAGTTGAATGAGCCCAGCTTGGGGCGAGGAGCCAGAGCTGAAGAATCCGATCCCTAGCCGGCAGGACCTCACAAGCTTTCTAGAACGCCCCAGGCTTTCCCACTTCCTCTCGCAGGAGCCTCACCATCAAGCAGGGTGTGAACAAAGCTGGCTTCTGCCAGAACCTGGGGCAGCTCACATTTAGGCTTTTGAACCTTTGTGTCTTTCTCATGATGTGGCCGTTCTGTGTTATTTCACTGTTTTTTGCTGTGCATGAGTTTTCTTATTTGATTGAGTCTATGGTCCTTTCCTCATTCAGGTTTGACTTTTGGGTTTTGTTGGAGATTGCTTCAAAATGGAATGGCCAAAAGCTGTTTCTCAATATTTTCTTTTGGGCCAATTTTCTAGGATTTTTTTTTCCGTTATAGACCTGGCTGGCCTCGGACTCACAAATTCACAGAGATCGCCTGCCTCTGCCTCACTGAGTGCTGGAATTACAGGCGTGCGCCACCATGCTCGGGCTTTTATTTTTCCAAAAAGAATGAAAAAAAAAAAAAATCAAAGCTAGGGGAGAAACTTCAGTTGGTAAAGTGTTTGCCATGCCAGCTTGAGGACCTGAGTTCAATCCCTGGCGCCCATTTAAAAAAAAAAAAAAAAAAGTGCTTGAAATGCTAGGACTGGAGAGGCAGAGGTAGGTAGATCCCTGGGTCTTGATAGCCAGCAAGCATAGCTGAGTTAGTGAGCCACAGATTCAGAGAGAGGGACTGAAGAATGTCCTCAGTGTTGACCTACACACAGACACACTGGAAAACTTCAATTTTTTAAGAGAGTGCAGATTGTAGCCTACTTTGGCCCATAGTCAGAAGCCACGCCAAGCAGCTCTGGTTAAACTGTGTTCCTTCCTTAGGCTTTCCTTTCGTTCCATCATTCTGCAAAAACAGGATTTATTTCTGGATCTCCAACCTCCCCATGTAAGTGTGAATTTACTTTTATACCATTTTCCTATTGTTTTTCTTCTTGTTGCATAATAAGATATATGAAAGATATGTAATTAAATACCCCCTCATTAAAAAAAAAAAAAAAAAAAAGACAAACCCTACAAGATTTTCGAGAAGGTAAATACTGTGGAGGTTACACATGGTATAACAGACTTACATTCAGGCAAAACACTCACATGTGTAAAAATAAAATCCTGTTAAAAAGTGAAAATGTGAGCTGGGTGGTGGAGGTGCTTCAAAATGGACCGACCATGGAGGCCACGGAGAGTTAAGCACCCAGAGACAAGGCAGCTCCTGAAGCATGGTGTGGCCTGCATCGCCCCGGGAACATGCCCGCATGCTCAGAACCTCCTACTCTCAGGCAGGCTCTCTCCCCTCCCCCTTTCTTCCTGTTCTCCTGCCTTATCTGCCCCACGGAGGCCTCGGTTGACCCCATGTCACTATGTTTAAGATCTTCTGGATTATCTCGTCGCTGTTAAAAACAAACAAACAAACAAACAAACAAACCCTCTATTTTATGTGTGTAGGTGCTTTCCCTTCAGGTATGTCTGTGCATCTTGTCCATCAGTGCTTGTGGAGGCCAGAAGAGGGCATCTGATTCCCCAGGACTGGAGTCACAGGTGGTTGTGATTGTGAGCCACCTTGTGGGTGCTGGGAATAGAACCCAGGTCCTCTGGAAGAGCAGCCAGTGTTCTTCCATTAAGCCAGCTCTCCAGCCCTGTGTCTTCATCATCCCCTGCCAGGCCCTGCTATCCAGAAGAGCACTCTCTAATGTAGACATGTCTCCACCCTCCACCGGGGTAAAAACTTTTATCTTTCACACCTGTGAACTGCATTTGGCCCTTGGTCTGGATAGTGGCTCAGTGCTACAGCCTTGAATGGCACTGACATGATTTAGAACCAGTGCCCATGAATGGCTCAGAACCAAAACATTCCCCAGGCCCTTACCTTAAAGCCATCCGTCCTAGACAGTGGAAGAGTCTGGTCACCCTTACTTTCATATTCTACCCCTCTCACACCTACCCTCTCAGGCTGGAGCTAGAGCAGTTTGAAGGAAAATGGAGGCCACCCTTGCTCCCCCTGATTTGGCAATGCTCACAGCTCAATGGAGTCAGGCAAGGTAACAGCAGTGTAGAAAAGCCTGGTGGAGACAGGAGGGGAGAGGCTCTGCACAGGATCCTTTTCTCTGAGAAGCAAAGATCCAAGTACTGGCTACCTGTGTGTGATATCATGAACACAGGGCTCCACAAGGAGCCCCAGCTACCTTCCCAGACAAGCCCAGAACCTACTCAGCCCCCCCCCCCACTTCATTCATTCCCCAAAGGCTCCAGAAAATACAATCTCCTCTTCCTGAAGACTTTGGTTTGTGCCAGGACAGCCTAGAGTGGCCTGTCCAAAAAGCCAAGATCTGCTGCCAAGATCACTGAAGCTCTGAGATCTTGGAGGACTGTCAGTATGAAGAGACAGGCTAAGAGGAAAAAGCACTGAGTGAACATGAGGGATCCCAGGCAGAGCGCTGGGAATAGTAAATAGTGAGGTGCTCACTGGATTTCCACATAAACTGGCAGGGCCAGGGGTCCTCCAGAGGCAACAGGGATGGGCTTCTCCAGTAGCTGTGACAGTGACTTCTATGACCAGCTGGCCCCAGAGCCACCCAGCCTGCTTGGGGACCAGGGAACTGGTTTGCCGAGCAAGGATGAGCTAACAAGAGATCTAGTTCTGGGCTGCCCTCCCCCTCTACAGCTGGGCCTGGCCTTGGTTTCTGGCACCACTGCCAAGTTTTGGTACCGCCCACCCACCCCCGCTGGCTCTACTGGCCAGCCCAGGTTGTAATTGCTGGGTGGGGAGCTGCACTTGTGGAGTGGGTACACCAAAAGGTGGGCACGTGGGCACCTGGCCCGACTGGCTCCGGGCCCTGGGGAGGAAGTAACTCAGACTTCAGGCTAACACCTGACTCGTTAGGGGAAGACTTTCCTGGGACCCAGCAGCCCAGAGACTTGCATTTGTAGGGACATATGAAATGAAGGGGAATATCACCGTCTGTGGGGACTAGCTTGCCTAGCCACCCAGGAGCTGGCTTCAAAGGCCAGGGCCCCAAACACACCCCCCTGGACACACCTGCCACTCACAGATCATAAACACAGCATCCCTACAACAGACAGTTCACACACCCAATCCTCCACCCTAAAAAAGGTGGGGTGTGTCAGTCAGCTCAGGTGTCACAGCCCACAGCTGGTCATCTAAACCCTGGCACCTACTTGCTGGACCTCCAGGCTCACAGGCACGGCCTGAGAGCTAGAGCTGTGTGACAGAACTCGAAAAAGGATTCTTGAATGGTTCCAAGGAAGGGAATGGAGGCAAATAAATAGCTGTGTTCAGTTGGGCAGGTGGATCTCTGTGAGTTCAAGGTCAACATGTCTATATATTAATTTCCAGGACAACTAGAGTTACATAGAGATCCTGTCTCAAAAATCAAAACAAAATGGCTAGTATCTCCCCTAGAGCAGGGAAGCACACTGAATTTGCCTTGTGTCACCAAGACCAGAAAGACCCAACAAAGCTATATATTCTAGGCATATACAGTAAGTCTGCAGTAGCTATTCCCATGATGCATCTGTAACAAAGCGGTTTCTCTGTAGAGGAAGGGAGCCCAAAGCAGAAGCACAGGTGTACAATCCCAGCATTTAGCAGGCAGGGGCAGGAGAAGTTTGAGTCCAAGGCCAGCCTGGGCTTCACTGGGAGAGTCTGTCTAAAACAAGGAAAAAGCAAGCAGGCAGGCTAAGGTGTAGCAGAGGTCTATAATTGCAATACTTGAGCAGCAGATTCCTTCAAGGCCAGCCTGGTGTACACACTGAGTTCCATGCTGGTCTGGCCTACACAGCAAAACCCTGACTCAAAGGAAAAAAAAAAAAAAAAAAAAAAAAAGGCAGGTAAGAAGGCAGAGAAGGTGTCAGCTTTGTCACTAACCCAAGAAGAGCAAAGCCCATAGGATGCACGACACTGCTAAGGTAGGGGTGGCTGAGAGTTACAGGGGTCAGCCATCAGCTTCAGCTGGGAAGCAGAGATCTAAAAGGTCAGTTTTGAGGCCAGGTGCAGAATGAGGGACTCCTTCCCCTTTCTGGAGCACAAACCAGATCTTCTGCATAAACAAAATATCCACAGGCCTCTACTGCCTATGGAAATGACCCACAGTTCCTGCACCTGCCTCTGGCCCCATGCCATGGAGGGAGGGGCATGCCACTGCTGGAGTGGCAGAGCCCACGGGAGCTTTTACATGTTACAGAGGAAGCTGCCTTGAGCTAGCTCCAAACCCAGCAGCTGCCTAGGCGCCCAGAGTCCAGACATCCCACCAGAAAAACACTTCATGCTCTGCTAATGCCTCAGTCGACCAATCCTTTTGTTCCCCTGGTATTGTTTCTTCTCAGACATCCGATGGTGTGGAAGAAAGGGGTTGCAGCCCACACAGCAGCTCAGGGCTGTGTGGTATGGAAGCAAGGAATAGCATTCCTCTGTTTTCCAACACTGCAAGGGCAGAGGCTGCACAGGGCACTTCATTCCACCACCAAGACTGTGGAAGGAACCCGGCCTAGGTCTAAAGCCTGGAACACTGACCATCCAGAAGCCCCTTGACTCAGGCCAAGGACAATGTTATCAACTGGGCCTCCTCATAGAAAATGTGCTTTTATTCTGGAGGAGGCCAATCTTCCCACCCCTGGCTCCCTCCATGGAGGTCAAGACCTCAAGCCAGGTCTCCAGCCCCCCTCTCTCGCTCCTGCCCTTCTGCATCCTGGGGCCGAGGCCTGGATGGCTCCAACCTACTTTACTGGGCCACACCCACCTTTGGGAGCAGGGCTGGGCCCTACCCAGGTGTTTCTCTGCCAGCAAGACTTCACCATAGCTTCTGGAGCAGGCACCCTATCCAGCCCATTGCCCACTGGAGCTCTCCTCTGGGTAGGCCTCCCATCCCTGAACTGGCCTCTACAGAATCTGCCTCTGACCAGTGCAAGGAAGGAGCCTGCCAATTCAGGGTATCTTCTGCCGGTGTGCCTGCTGTCAGCACACTTGGCTAAGCCTCAGATCTTGGAAGACTCAAGCCGGGGACTCCAGGATGTAGGAGGCTCCCGCAGCACCCGCAGCTCCTGCTCGAGCGCCTGGTTCCGGCGGTACATGTCCATGTAGCCCCCTTGGATTTCTCGCTGGTAGCGCAGCACCCTCTCCTTCTCCTCCTGCCAAGTCTGCCTCTCCTGCTCGAAGCGCAGCGCCTGCTCCTGGCCACGAAGCCGTTCCTGCAGCAGCTCTGCCCGAAGCTGCTCGGCCCCTTCCCTGGCTTCACTGCCTCCCGCCTCCCCCAGCAGTCCCCTGCTCTTGCAGTCATCCGTCTCACAGCTGCCTGGGGCTTCCTCCCGAGGCGCCTGCTCTTGAAGGCTGCGCACGGCCTCCCGCAGCCGGGCCAGCTCAGCGTCCTGAGCCTGGGCTTGTGCCCGGCTGCCCCGAAGTTGCGTCTTTAGACTGAAGATCTCAGCCAGCTTCTGGGCCAGCTCTGCCTGGGCTTCCCGGAGCTGCTGTTTCAACAGACTAATCTCGGCAGTCTTCTGGCACACCTGGGGGAAGAGACAAACTGTGAGCAAGGGCCAAACTCCGGAAGACACTGGGGCCAGCTGCGGGAGGGAGGCAACAGAGTACCGGTCCAAGACAATGCGACAGGAGGCGATGCCTCCGATGGCGCCCTACCTCCCATCGGGCTTCTTCCTCCGGCCGGGCACTGGGGTCAGCCTCCGTGTGGGGACCAGATGTCCGCGGCTCCGGGGCCAGGCCTTGCTGAGCCCGGAGCTCCTTGCGCAGTCGCCGCTGTTCCTGTTGGGCCATAAACAGCTGCAGCTGGAGGTTGCGCTCGCTGCGCTCAGCTTTCTGGGCCACCTCGTGCAGCCGTTCCACATACAGGCGCTTCAGCTCGGACAACCACAGCCGCTGGCGCTCCTCTAGCACCTGCAGGGGGGAGGAACCGGTGAGCGGTGGGCACAGCCTCACTCAGATTTCCAGCTTGGCCTGAACCCTAATAACAATGCTCGCTTGTGCCCACAGCCTGCCACCATTGATGACTTTCATGCCTAGGCCACAGGGCCCAACGTCCTGACCGCGTGTGTTTCACACCTGAAGAGGCTCTCCACAGAGGGTGTTTGTAATACACGGTCCTCGCAGAAACTGTCTCTCTCCTTCCTACACAATTTCCAGGCAGGACCAAAGTGACACCCATCCCTGACATGTAGTTGAAGGACAGCAAAGACTAGACTTCTTGCTTTTCAGTGCTGAGAAGTGAACTTCTCATGTGAGGCTAGAACTCCACCACTGAGCTACCCTGCCAGTTTACAGGTGTCCTTTTCATCTCTCTTTAAGCTCAATGGGAGAAAGGCCACCATGCGGGGGAGGGGGGGGAATAAATTCCCATCTCACTGTTCTGCTCCTATCCTCTGCTGCCTCTATGCAGCCAGACCCCAACATCATACCGTGCTCAGGCCTTGCTCATAGTTTGCCTCAACCCCAAGCTGTCCAGATGTCAGAGATTAATCTGGCCTATAGACCAACGCCAAGGGACAAACCAGTCCAGGGCAGGGGCTCCTTCACCTGAGTAAAGGGGTTAGAGACATCCTGGTCACTGAGGTCCCTCTTGAGTTCCTCACAGGTGTCAGGCAACACAGCTATCTCCTCACCAGTGGGGCAGGAGAACTCATACGGAGGAGGCGGCTCAGGCAGGCAGCTCAGTACAGCCAGAGGTCCAGACTCCTTGGGGCTCCTCGGAGCGCGGTCCAGCGAGCCTCCAAGGTGATTAATGTGGCCCAAGGAGGAGCTGAAGGGGCTCGGGCCTGTGCCTGGACTACGGCCAAAACTACCCCCGCTGGAAGAGTCCGACAGGCTGGGCTCGGGGCCACCTTCGTCTAAGCTGAGGGCGTGAAGCAGCTGGGCACGAGCCTGACTGGCCTGAGGCCCGGGGCTCAAGGGTGGGTGACAGGCCAGCGTGTGCAGACTGCCATTGCTTCGCCACAACTTCTGGCCCTTGTGGGCTGCCAGGCTCTGCATGGACAGGAAGCCTTTCCCAGTGCCCGTAGCAGGCTTGAATACAGACGGTCGAATTCGGCACTGTCAGGAAGAGAATGCGGGCGTGAGCAAGGTCCAGTTGGCTGCTTTTTTTCTGCCTACCTGATCTTCCCAAAGACTCTAGGGATCCCCCCTCTGAGAATACAGGGTACATGTCACAGGGGGGGCAGTGGTCAAGCTTCAGGACGGCCCGTATGGATCAGACTTCCCACAGCTCAGCCTGCCCTGGCCTACGGTCAGGGCCTCCCTGACCACCCCGGCGTCCCAGTCTCTGGGTTGGGCCCAACCCCCATAACAGAGATGTACCTTGTCAAAGCGACCCCGCTCAGGCAGGGAAGTCTTACTGAAGTCACCGGCCCGGGGATGTTCCCGGTAGTAGAGGGTGGCATAGTCCGGCTCGTTCTGAGGGGCTCGCTTGGTGGCCTTGCCGTCCTTCTTGGGGAGATGCAGGTAGCTGAAGAGCTCACGCTGGCCCAAGCCTTTGCGGAGGAGCCCATCAGGCTGCCGGGAACCCCGGGACCCAGCTAGCGCAGCCCGAAGTTCTTCAGGGGAAAAGTCCTGCCGTTCCAACAGGCTGCCTACGCTGCCCATGGCAATGCCAGCAGGGCCCGGGGCTGTGGCCATGAAGGGTCAACAGGGCACCGGCAGCTGATTCTGGGAATCAGAAGGCTCCATTAGTGGCAGATGGGCACTCGGCTCCAAGTTCCCAGATGCACTAAAACTAAACACTCGCCATCTGTTAGCTCTCCCGTCCGCCCAGGCCCATCCGCAGCTATGTGTTAACAGAATGGGAGTCACAGCACGGCAAAAGCGAGAGCATGTTGAACGCTGTGTCAGACAGTCTCAGGAACAGGAAATGGGGCTTCTACTGGGACAAGTAAAGGAACAGCTCCCAGTTAGGGGTCTGGGGGTGGGATGTAGAGGCAAGGCAGGAAAGGGGAGGCCCTCAAGTGGAACAGGGACCCTCTTTCTAGAACTTAGCCAGCAAAAGGTGGACTCCGGTTCTGTCTGACCCTTGACCTTGCTTACTTCTGACAGGCTCTCCACCAAATTTGTGGAATGGGAGAGCAAGCACAGCCAACCAGGACTGGAGGAGGTCTGTTCCTCCAGCTTTGAGGGAAGAGGGAAACCCAGGGTCAGAAGTCCCCCAGGGAAACATCTGGAGTGGGTGAGGTTGGGGGCAGTGGAATACAGTGGGAGGGATACAAACAGGAAGGGCCCAAGGGGAGGAAGGATGGTGATACACACAGGAAGGGCCTAAGGGGAGGAACAATGGCTTCTGTTTCCGGAACAGGTGTTCAGGTCTAGGCAGAGAAGAGGCGGCCAGGCTGTGTAATGCCACTGTGTTCTGTTGTAAGCTTTCACCAGCCGGGTCCACAGAACCTGGGCTGGAAGCCAGCAGCTTAGCCACGCTTAAGCTGGGGGAGCCTTGCCTTCCTCAGGACCAGAAAGGCAGTGATGGACAGCGTTATCACATAGGGATGCCGAGAGGATGGGGTGAATAACGTTAGCAGGCATCCAGTCCAGGTCTGGCCTGAAGCCAGTCAACACAGAACACCAGAGGCTCAGCTTAATCACTCCAAGTCCACACGGAGGGCCCAGGCTTAGGGACTGTCTCCCACATGTTTCTGGGGCCCAACCACTGGTGCGTGTGCCACACCCATTGCCCAGCAAACAACTGGCAGTGAATGGTACCTTTTCTGCTCCCCACCCACACACAGCTGCTCCCAATGCCAAGCAGATGCCAGGCAGGCAGGCTGCATCTGGGAGTACCCACCACTACCCACCCAATATGCTTCCGGGATACCCACTCCCACCCCTAACAATGGTGGTTAGGAGGCTCCATCCTCAACCGTTTCCAGGTTTTGTGTTTGTGAAAGACAAAGTGCTCGCCGGGAGAGGGACAGCAGCCTGGTCTCCTCCCCCACTCTACAGCCCTGAACTGCACACTGCACCCTATGCAAAAATATTTAAAAAAAAAAAAATTAAAAAAAAAATGAGGTAGCTCTTTTCTGAGTAACTTTTTGTTTGTTTGTATTTGTTTTTCTAGGCCGGGGGTTTCTCTGTATAGCTCTGGCTGTCCTTGAACTCCCTCTGTAGACCAGGCTGGCTTTGAACTCATAGACAACTGTTTGCCTCTGCCTCCCAAGTGCTGGGTGGGGTGCAGGTCTGAGTTTGGACACCCAGCCCAGACCCACATGAGCTGTCATACCCTGCTAGGGATGTCACAAATCATGTAAACTCAAGACTCAGCCAAGTTAAGGGACTACTGGGCTGGCACTCCTACAGCAGCACGGCACTTTGCTGGAGTTTCAACGAGACTATGGCTACAATATCCCTTCTTTGTTAAAAATTAATTAATTAAAAAAATTTTTTTGAGACAGCGTTGGGATCAAAGTTTCACGCCACCGCTGCCCAGATCAGTATTCTCCTTTTGAAAGGTAAGCTCTTGGAGCCCAAAAAAGATGGAATGGAGGTTACAGAACTGGTCAAAACGAGGACTCATGGGATCCCAACACCAGGGCTGGCAAGCGTCTAGGGGGACTCAGGATGTCACCCACAGCCAAAAGAATTAAGAGTTGGTCCGATTGCCTTCCTGTTCGGGCGTTGGGTGGCCTTGACAAGCCCACGCAATGAGAAAGCACTGCATGCGAAACGTTCTCTTGCCACTGAAGGAAAAAGCTCTAGTCTCTAGCCATCCCCTTCCTGCTCCGTAGGAGAACCGAGATGCCTGTCCCTGCATCATCTTGGCCTGCCTTCCTTACCTCCATCAGGATAACTGGCAAGTGGCAATAGGGGCAGCAAAAGGGCTATATGGCCAGGGGCTGGGGACATTACCAGATATGCCTACCTCACCCCAAACACACACCTCACCTTCCCCTGTGCAAATACTCACTTCCGGGCTCCTGAGAAACAACAGACACTTTGTGGTACAAAACTAAAGGGTCTCAGGGATGAACAGGCATAGCCACAAGCCACAACTATGAAAATGGCTTCATACAGAACAGGGTGTCAGGGCAACCGTCCCGTAGAGAAATGTATGCCTGACAACACAGTGACGGCAGCTGTTTCCCAACAGCGGGGACAAGGTCACCCACCATCCACCCACCCAGACTCGGCCTCACGTTGCGCTGTCTACCCCACCTGAGGGGCTGAGGACCTAGGCCACCCAGGTCTCAGTCTGGAGGGAAACCCTCTTCCTCAAGAACCCAACCTACCTCAGACCCTCCCCCAACACGCACATTCCTTCCCGTTGCTTAGGAGCCTTGGGATTGCCTGCTTAGGCCAGGGCAGCTAGCTGTGTGGGCTCTATGGCCAGTGTTTGGTGGGGGGTGGAGGAGAGAGCTAGCAAGTGCCTCACGACCTCTGGGAGACCAGAGTAGAGCAGAAAAGGGGGAGGGGAGCTCCACCAAATGCCAGGGCCGTGCTGCCACTGCAGGGTGCCTAATCTTGATGCCCAGGGCTCTGTAAGGAGCTCAAAACATTACTCAGCTGGCCACAGCAGTACCCCTTCAGCCTGACTCCCTCTGCCCCCAAGATTAGCCAGCAGTGCAGAAAGCCCTAAAGAGGTACAGAGGGATACACAGTGGAACACCCCAACACCGGACCCTGGGTGCCTCTTCAAAACACACGCAGGAGGGGTCCAGGAGATAAAACGATGTGACCAAGGTCATGTTCAGCGGCATGGAAGGAAGTGCCCTGGGATCCCTAGATGCAGCTTTCCCTGCATTTCCTTTGGGTTGGGACACCTCACTCTCCATGAGTACTTGTCAGCATTAACTGCCATCAGACCCATCAGGGTGCGCGCGCACGCTGCGGGGGGGGGGTGTCACACCACCTGCTGGGGGGGATCAGCCCTGAGGGGTGTGTCCGCAGCTGCCCCAGAGGAATGAGACTGGAATGTCCCAACTCCAAAAATGGGGACAGCCTGAGAGGCGACAAGGGGGGGGCGGTGGCAGGTGTGTGTACCCTGCCCCCTCTGCATTATTATCCCGCTTCGCTGCGTTTCTCAGCTCTTCTATTTCAGTATGTCACATCATCTCCACAGTAGATGGTGGAGACAGACAGGGCAGAAAGGACCCTACCTACAGATAGGGAAACTGAGGCTTAGGAGGAGGAAATGAGCTATCCTTAATCCCACTCTGATGGCCGATCTGGATTCCCACAGTAAAGCCCTCTGTACTACACCCAGCCGTCCCAGCTAGGGGTCACCTTCCACCGGCATCCTCTGCTGTCTATGTGGCCTGCCCAGCCCCCATGCTTGTTTCTCCCAAGGGCATCTACAGCTAGGCTGGGTGGGATGGAATTTAGCCCCCTCCCAAGGACCTCTGCTGTCAGCCCTGGGGGAAGAGGGTAGGAAGAGATAGTGGAAGTGGCCCGGTTTAGGGACTCTGAGCTCTGGAAACTGCTAGAGGCGGTGTCAGGAGCTGGCTGGTCGCTTTCATTCACAGTCTCGCACATACACACCCACACGCAGCCAGCCGGCAGAGGAGCCCTGCTTGGGAGAGCCTGGAAGGAGGCAGATCACCAGGTCCAGGAGGGCCTTCCCTCTCGGCTGCTCCCTCCCAAGGACAGACATGCCCAGCCTGTACCTTTGGGGTGGGGATGTTCCAGGCCCCCTTCTGAATACAGCCGGGGTCCCGAGCCTCACTTTTGTAAAAGGCTGGCTGGGGTCAGGACAGACTGGGACAGTGTCCCACACCTCGGGAATGTCCCCTATCCGCAGGTTTTCAGTTGAGGACCAGACAGGGTAGGGGGCTGGGGCAGGAAGAGGGTACCCTGAGGGCAAAAGCAGGTGAGCGGTGTCCCTGGGAAGGTGGCAGAGAAGACAGGTTGGCCACCCCGGTGGAAACTGCGCCCAAGAAGGCAGTGGAGGAAGCGAGGGATCCCAGACTTGCCGGAGGCCCCCGAGCTACCCAGGGGGCGGAGTAGGGTGCACGTCTCCCGCCCGCCATCTGTGGGGCCTGCCTGGAGCTGGTGCAGGGGGCGGAGGCCGAGGTCAGACTCCTGCGCCAAGGGCGCCTGCCCTCCTAGCTGCGGCGCAGGGGTCCGGGGCGATGCTCCACAGAAAGCGTATTTACAGGTCAGCCTTGTGCGCGGTAGGAGGACCCCGGGGCGCACACCGCATCCTGCCACCCCCCCACCGGGGTCCTAGAACCACCTCGGCGACCCGCCCTGCCCTTTTACCATGCTGGCGCCGCGGATCCCAGGGCGCGCTGCAGTGCTCAGCTCAGTCTCGAACCTTTCTCCTCCCAGGCTCTTCGGGCGGGCGCGGGAGCCTGATCGGCGGGCAGAGGACGCGCTGGGCGACACCGGTCTGCTGGCCCCAGAGACGGAGGGAAAACCCGGCCTGACTCACCCGCGCCGCGCGAGCCCCAGAGCCCAGCCCGGCCCCCGGATGTGGGGGGCGGGAACCGGCGCCGCCCCCGAGCGACCTGAACCCCGCCCCGGCTCGCGGGTGCAGCCGGCCCGGGTCCCCAGCTAACTGCGCCGGGAGCTGCGGCCACCCCGGTGCGCGCTCACGTTCGTGCAGCAGCTCCGCAGACCCCGGCCCGGACGAGCATCCAGCACGCGCGCCGCCGGCTGCTCCTCCTACTCCAGCTCCGAGACTCGCCCGCCTCTCCAAGAACCGGCTTCCAAACTGGCGCGCTGGGTTGGGTTGGTCACGTCTGTGCCCAGGTAAGCACCACTTTCCTCCTTTGAGACTAAACCCAAGAAGGCTCTGAGAGCCGGAGAGGTGTAGTCCGCGTCTCCAGTGGTTAGCAGCTGGACTGGGCGCGGGACTTTTATTTTGGAGAGAGTTTTTTCCGAAGCCTAGGGGTGGCAGGTTCAGATGCCTTTAGGGGCCAGACCGATAACGTAAATGAGTCATCTGCGATGGGTAAGGCAGTAGGAGCGCGGAAGACAGAAGGCTGGACACCAGAGCACGTTCAAGATCAAGAAGTTAGAGCACCTTTTCTTCCTTAAAAAGTTGAACACAGATGGTGTGGAGTGTTAGGGGTGTGTGTGTGTGTGTGTAGAGATAGCTCAGAGGTTGAGAGCCCTTTGCTGCTCTAGGAGAGGACCCGGGGTTGGTGTCCAGCACCCACGTGGAGTCTCACAACTCCAGTTCCAGGGGATCCAGTGGCCCCCTCTGACCTCTAGGGACACTTCACGCACGTGGTGCACATTTACTCACGCAGGCATATATACATAAACATTCTTTTTAAGATTAGAAAAAAAAGAAAGTAAGTAAGTTAAACACGGAGTTAGACTATGACACCTAGCAGTTGCCTTCCTGGGTACGCGGCCAAAGGGACCAGATGCTCACAGCAGTGCTGTGCTTAGTATTTCAAAAGGAGGAAACTCGACAAACCCTCCGGCAGTTAATGATCACTAGTGTGGTCCGCCCACACAGTGGAATATTATTTACCACAGAAAAGGAATGAGTGCCACCCCGTGCTACAACCCTTGATAAGAGTGAAGAGTGAAGCCAAGTCAACGAAACCACCCGCAAAAGGCCACATGTGGGGTGACTGCACTGTTGTGAAACAGGTAAACCCTTGTGGATAGTCTGCAGATTAGTGCCAGAAACTGCAGAGAGGGAGAAGTGGGAATGTTCCTTACTAGTTGTGGGGCTCCATCTTGGTGTCAGGTGGTGGTTGCAGCACTTTCCTTTTAAAATGTCTCAGAGGGGGCTGGAGAGATGGCTCAGAGGTTAAGAGCACTGGCTGCTCTTCCAGAAGTCCCAAGTTCAATTCCCTGCAACTACATGGTGGCTCACAACCATCTAGAAGGTCTACATGCAGACAGAGCATTGTATACATAAATAAACAAATTTTTTAATGTCTTAGAGGGCTTGGGGTGTGGCTCAGTGGTAGAGCATGTGCTCAGAGCCTGTGTGGGGACCTGGGTTCAATTCCCAGTACCCTAAGTTAAAGTGGATAATTACTTTTTTTTTTTTAAGATTTATTTATTATGTATACAGTGTTCTGCCTGCTTGTATGCCTGCACACCAAAAAGGGGCAGCAGATCTAGTTATAGATGGTTGTGAGCCACCATGTGGTTGCTGGGAACTGAACTCGAGACCTCTGGAAGGCAGTGCTCTTAACCTCTGAGACCAAAAATGGATAATTCTTTATCAGGCAAAACAAGTTCTCTTAAACAAGGAAACATTACCTGTGGCCCAACAGGTACCAGTTTGCAGCCTCTGCTTTCGATTCTACCATTGGCAATTTCTTTTTTTTAATTATTATTTTATTTACATTGGTGTTCTGCCTCCACCTATGTCTGTGTGAGGGTGTCAGATCCCCTGGAACTGGAATCCCAGACAGTCGTGGGCTGCTATGTGATTGCTGGGATTTGAACCCACGTCCTTTGGAAGAGGAGCCAGTGCTCTTAACCGCTGAGCAATCTATCCAGCCCTGATTGGCAGTTTCTTGAGCCACCATGTGGGTGCTGGGGAATTGAACTCAGGACCTCTGAAAGAACAGTCTGTTCCTAACTTTTGGGCCATCTCACCAGACCCTTGGCAATTTCTTAACAATGGATTTTCTCTTTAAGAAAAGTCCTAAAATTTCTCTAATATTTAAAACTTTCAAAAAAATTATATTTAAAACTTCAAAAAAAAAATTGAAACCAGGAGCAGTGGCGCATGCCTGTAATCCCAGCACTCAGGGAGGCAGAGGAGGCAGGATCTCTGTGAGTTCACAGGCAGCTTGCTCTACAAAGCAAGTCTAGGATAGCCAAGGCTACACAGAGAAACCCTATCTTGAAAAAAAAAAAAGAAAGAAAGAAAGAAAGCTCATTCACAGCTACTCAAAATCTCAGTAGTTGGAGGACGGCAGGTGTATGGGGGGGGGCATTGCCTGAGACAGAGGAACGCTCATGGAAAGGACACACTTACCGTCTTCGGGACCAAGGAACGGCCTCTGTGGGTAAGTAGTCTAGCAGACACTCTGAAGTGTTTCTCTAGGAAGGTGCTGCTAAGGCCCGGAGCTGGGGAGATCTGCCCATGCTCAGATGCAGATGAGCTCTCTAGAGAGGCCAGGGTGCCAAAAGAGCCTCAGAGGTGGCACACAGGGGTTGGCCCAGAAGTGCCTCCTGGAACACGCGGCACAGCCTCTGCAGTGCTGCTGAGGGGGAGCTTGTGCACCGGGCTGGGCTGTGCGCTGTTCACACAAGCCATGCTTGCTGGTTGAAGCGGGGAGGAGGGGTTATAGCATCCAGGCAGAAGGGGTCTGTTAGCAGGGGAGACCGGAAATGTTCATGGGATGGGTATGAGGAATTGACCTGTCTTGGCAAGAACATTCTCGGGGAGAGAAGAGGTCAAAGCTAAGTTCTAAATTTTTGTTTATTTGTTTGTTTGAGACAGGGTCTCGTGGAGGGCAGGTTGCCCTTGAACTTGTTTTTGTAGCAGAAGATGGCTTTGAACCCATGATCATCCTGCTTTTCACATTCTAAATACTGGGATTACACGTGCCCCAGCTGTAAATACTTGCTGCCTGTTGTTGTGTGGTGTGTGTACATTTGCACACAGGTGGAGCTCGGAGGACAACTTCTTGAGGTCTGTTTCTTTCTTCCTTTACATGGGTTCTGGAGATCAAACTCAAGGCCTCAGGCTTGTACAGCAGAGACCTTGCCCATCTCAGCTGCCCCATCTGTAAGTGTTGATGGTGACTCCGGTTCAATAAGACCCAAGCCCACCTCCCTCCCCTTCCTGGACCCCTTTTTCATTTACAAATTTGATAATTTATCCAAGGCCTGGTTTCCTCCCGCCCCCTCCAGTGTTCTTTCCCTATCCCGGGCCTTCAGAGGAAAGTGGTGGTGGGTCTATCTCCGGCATCCCAGCAGGAAGGGCTGGATCAGACCCCTTCCCTCTGGGGCCCAGGGAGGTCAAGAATGAACGCAGGAGAGAATGAACGCAGGTCAGGAATGAACGCGGAGGCTCCTGGCAGAACAGAACACTCAGAATTGCCTCTTCAGGTAAGGATCCTGGCCGGGATGAAGAGCGAGGGGCTAGGGCAGAGGTAGAGAACAGCCAGCTTCCAGCCTTTGAAGAGAGATGTCAGTCAGGGCAGCAAGGGAAGGTCAGGCTACCTGTCCCCACCTTCTGTAAAGGCTAGAGCCTGCAGACTGCTCAGACCACTGTCCCGCCCCCCGGGGAGCTGGCCTTCCCTGGCCTGACAGTCGCGGCCAGGCTTTGGCACCCTTGCATACTGTTACTCTGCTCACCTTGATGGGGAATGGCAAAGCAGGCAGGACCAGCTGACCCTTTAGAGAAGTGCGCTCAGTTGCGATCCATTCCCCCTCTTCCCCTGGCACCCTCACGCCTTCCTCTGTGTGTTTTCAAGGCTAAAGCACAGGGTGTGTCATTGGACTCTTGGATGTTCTTGGTTCAGCCTTCTGCGGTGCAGGGGGAGCGCGTCATCTCCCTCCCTCAGAGTACGTCTCAGAGCGGGAGGGCCTGAAAGAGGGTCTGCCTCTCTGAGGTCTTTTGAGAAAAGCTGGGCAGGACAGAGGTGGGGGATCAGAGGCCGGCAGGAGGCCAGGCTGCCTTCCTCCCACTGAAGGTTTGCTTCCCAGCCTGGAAGAGCAGACCCATGCAGGCAGCCTGCCCCAGGGAGGGGGTGCACCCAGTGAACTCTGCCCACTTTTGGCTTCATCATGCAGACACACACACACGAGTCGCTTGTCCCCATGTTTCACAGCCCTTTGGATTTGGCATGCAAGCCGTGCTGTTCAAATGCCAAGGAGTGAGGCACTCCGGGCACCAGGCCAGGGCTGAAGTGAAACCAAATTCCTTGGGTGTACCTATTTCCTGAATCTAGCCCTGGACAGTTGAACTCCAGTTATCTGCTGTCTGCCAGTAACCGAGATGGTGAGGGTCCTAAGGGCTACCCATGGTGAGTAGGAATTGAACCCATCTCCGGCTGCCACCTCTGCCCCCATCACCTTTCTTCCTGTTGCAACAGCCTCCCTGGGCTCCTCTCTACTCTGCCCCAGAGGAACCTTCCAGCCCACACATTGTGCCTCCAGCTCTTCTCAGCCTCAAGAATGGCCCTGCCACCCCTTCAGGCTTGGACACGGCCACTGCTCCTGCCACCTGTGTCCTTGGGGCTGCCCCATCCCCTTGTGACTGGCTAGTTTGGGGGTCACCCACTATCTTCAGAGTCTCTCCCACCCTCCACAAAAAGTTGACCACACTGTCACTGTTCTCAGCCTTTTCCCATTTTTTTCAGTAGCTCTTTTTTACCATACACCATCATCTCTGTGTCACTTGTCACTCCCAAGAAATAACAGTCCCTGAGCACATAGGACTGATGCCCAGCCCAGATTCCCCCAAGGTCTTGAAGGGGTCTGGGAAATGCCATCCCAGTGTATTACACCTGACTGTGCTGGCTCCTTTGAACTGAGGCCTGGAGAACAGCAAGCCGGAGAGTGTAGGTACGATGTTATTTTGCACTGTGTGAGGATTCAAATGCTGATTTCTGTGCCCCCCCGTATCTGGTTGCAGTCATTGTTCTGAGAATTTGTCTAAACTCTGCTCCCCAATTGTTCCCTGATGTCAGTCGCTGAGCAGGGGAGAGAATAGGGCTGAACTTCCTGCCAACCAGGGAAGGAGAAGAGAGAAAGAGAGAGAGGTGGGGTTTTGGCCATGGACAGAAGTCTGGGAGACACCATGAAAAAAAAAAAAAAGAGCTAGAGCAGAGAAAGCCATAAAATGCAAGTATCTTGGCGATTATTGGCAAAGAGGAAGCCAGATTAGTTTAGAGGATTAAAATAGATTAATACTGCTCAGTTGTTGTGCCATAAAGCATGTTAAATAAAAAACATAGTCTGCTCTCTATTACTTAGGCGCTAGCTGGGTTAAGAGAGAAACTTCAGCACACATTTTAAAACTACCACTAACAGGAGAACCTTTACATGTGAACAATCTGGGCAGCCCTGTTTCTGACACAGGGTCTTGCTGTGTAACCCAGGTTGATCTAAACCTCGAAGTCCTGCCTCTGCCTCTGTAGTGCCGAGTTCACAAACCATCGTGTCTAGCTTCTTTATGTAACAAACAACCTTTATCCACCCCCAAATTTTGTGGCATGCCCACCCTTCCATCCCAGGAGCCCAGAGCCCATATTCTTTTCTGTAACAGGATTGTTTTGTAATAAAATGCAGCTCCCCCTCCCTCCCTCCTTTTGTTTGTGTTTTTTGAGGTAGGGTCTGTACACCGCCCTGTCTGTCCAGGAACTATGTAGATGAGTCTGGCCTGGAACTCACAGAGATCCTCCTGCCTCAGCTTCCGAGCTAGTATTAAAGGTGTGTGCCATCACATCTGGCAGTTTTCCTCCTTTTTTGAGATGGTAGTCTCATGCACCCCAAGAAGGACTTAAGCATACCTTGTGGCCTTGAACTTGTTTGAGACAGGGTTTCTCTGTGTAACAAGTCCTATCTGTGTTGGACTCGCTTTGTGGACCAGGCTGGCTTCAACTCACAGAGATACGCCTGCCTCTGCCTACCAAATGCTAGGATCACAGGCCTGCGTCACCATGCCCAAACAGACCTTGAACCTCTGATCCTTCTGCCTCTGCCTCTTATGTGCTGGGGTTAGAGAGGTTTACTGCCATGCCTGGCCCTAGAACTAGGAATTGAACCCAGACCCTTGTGCATGCTTGGTAAGCACTCTGAACCACACCTCCAGTTTCCTCCTTAAAAGAAAAAAAAAAAAAAAAAAAGGATGTGTATGTGTGCCTGTTTGAATGATTGGCTATGTGCCTCATGTTCATGCAGTACCCAAGTAAGCCAGAGGAGGACCTTGTACCCCTGGAGCTGGAGTTAAGGGCAGTTTGGGACTGGCTGATGTGGGTGCTGGGAACCAGATGCAGGAGGTCCTCTGTAAGGGCAGCCGGTGCTTTTATTGCCGAGCACCTCTCCAGGGCCAGTTTTCCTCCTCCTAAGCTGTCCAGTGACAGCTCCATTAGCAGAGCAACCAAGAACTTAGGAGGGCAGAGAGGAGCCGTTTGCCCTCACTGCCGTCTCCTCTGGGGTCTGACATTGGCCATGCTTCTTTCCATCTGCCTCACCATCTGCCTCAGAAGGAACCTCGAGGCTGTTTTCTAACCAGGAAGAGGTGAACGAAGAAAGGTGGTGCTTGCCTGGCGCGGATCCTGGTTTTGTAACTGCCTACTTTTGCAAAACAGGACAAATCACTGGATTAGAGTCACGCAGGTGTAGGCCCTGCTCTGGTGTGATATAAAGGGACTTGACAGCCCCGCAGCCCCAACTCTTCACCCCGTACCCTCCTTCCTCCTCCTTTCCCCTTGGAGCTGAGCCAGCCTCTAGCCCCACAGAAGACTCGGGCTGGGTCGGAGGCCACTAAGGACCTCGGTCTTTTCGAACAACAGGCTGACAGATATTGCTCGCTACCCGAGCTCCCACGTGGGTCAGAGGTGGCTGTCCTGCCCCTGGGTCCCACCCTCACACCTCGGCCTGGAAGTAGGCTTGGACTGTCGGCCCTGAGTGGCCGGAGGGGGGAGGAGCCTGTACTTGGCTCCTCTCCTGCAGCCCTCCTTTAGTGACCCGGTGACCTGGGCAGCCCCAGGCAGGCTGTGGGTGGAAGCTGAGACCTGCCCAGACATGCTCCGGGGTACCTGCCCCAGGGCAGGCGGCTCAGACCTGCAGGAGCCGACCCACTCCCGGAAGTCCAGGCTGCCTGCTGGCCCGATCCTGGGCCACAGACCTGGATCAGCCAGTTCAGGAGGCTCTGCCAGGCTAAATGCTCACAGCGCTTTGCTGCAGTGCTGTAGAGCACACTCAAGGGGGCTAAGGAAGCCCTTAGTGAATGAGGTGTATTTCTCACGGGGTTTTTTAAAGGAAAGGAAAATAGCAGCTCAGTAAAGTGGGCTTGGATTCTTATGTGTCATTCCTGACTGCAAGTGAGGTTTAGGCCAGCCTGGGGCTTCATGAGGCCCTACCTTAAAAAAAAATATAAAAGTCACAGTTTCTCTATGTTGATGATGACCTTCAACTAGTACTTCTAGGCCAAAACCATCCTCCCTCAACACCCGAGGAGCTGGGATACAGATGGTGGTACTCCTGGCCATTGAACCCTAAGAACTGAAGCCAGGGCCTAGTGTCTGCTAAAGCCCTGTACCAAGCTATACCCCTAGCTACACCCTCAGCCCTCCTGGGTTGTTTCAAATTCCAGAAAAGAGCATTTCATCCATAAACACCTCAGGGAAGACATTTCAAGTTATACTAAGTATGCTTTTTTGGGGGGCCTGCTGGAAATTGAGCCCAGGAATTTCCATGTACTGAAGAGAGCTTGCTTGCTCTTAAATTTTTTTCCCTTTGTTTTTGGAAGCAAGGTCTCACTATAGCCCTGGCTGGTCTGGAACTTGTCACTGTAGACCTGGCTGGCCTTTAATTCGCAGACATTTGCCTGCCTCTGTCTCCTGAGCGCTGGGATTAAAGTTGGGCACCTCCATGCCTGACATAAAGCTTTTGCTACCAAGCTACACTGAAGCCCTGCACCTGTTTTCCTGTGGGACTTCACAGGCTTGGAGAAGCGAAGCTGAGGCCTGCAGATGGGCAAGTCTGTAGGTGGAGCCTGGACAGTCAGGCATTCCCTCCGCTCTGCCCTGTCACCCTTGACCACTTCCTGAAGCAGGAGGATCACCCATTTCTCCCCTCAAAGGAAAGCTGAGGGGGTGGCTTTTGGGGATAAATGAGGAGGATGGCTAAGATGCCTCAGCTCCCAAAGACATGCCCAGTGGGGGCAGGGGAACCTCAGGCTTGACCTGTTGTGTTGTGGTGTCTGGGGTCTCAGCGTCCTACCCACTCACACTTCTTGCTCCCTGAGCAAGAGCGGCCGTCCACGCTCTTGCACCGGGCACGCCCTTGGGTACCAGTCTTTGAAAGTCTTCCAAGCATCACCTTCTCTCTTGCATGTCTGGTTCCAAGGCAGAAGCTTCTCTAGAGCCCAGTTCTGTTCTGCTTCCCTAACCCAGCAACTGATTAGGTGTATCTGGCACATGGCCGAGCTCCTGGCTTCCTTCCCAAACCTGCAGCCAGACCATGTGACAGCCACTGCCCAGCCCCAAACGTTCACCCAGCCCCACCCAGGGGAGCCAGACAGCTGCACACACCCTCACCTGCCTGGCAATGCCATGCTCCCGCCCAGCCCTCTCTCCAGTCCTACCAGAACAGCAGTTTTCCTGATGCTACCTCTGCCGGGAGCCGACCACAAAGGCCCATAGAAAGCACTCAAGGCCTGGCTTTTGTGGTGCCCTTGGCAGGACCGATGGACACAGGGCTGTATGGTACAGAAACGTCAGAGAAGGAAGGCCCAAGAACTGCCGCTTAATCTGTGCATAGCCACCATCCCTGGTATTTCCTTGTCAGGCTGATGGGGATAAAGAAGGAACCCATAGGGACCAATATCCCTGGGTC